AGCTTTGTTGATAAGAATATTGCGGTACACAAATATAGACTTTTTAACCGACTGGACTTACTTGAAAAGTCCACGAATGTACTACCCGCGGCTCTTTGAGCGGCTAATCATTCGCTCGTCGTGTGGTGTGCGTTTGGTATTACTCAAAATCACATTGACGATAATTGTTTTTTTTAGAAACTGAAATGGACGGAATAAATTACTATGAAGAATTGGACGCAGAAGAAGAAAACCGCCGCCGAAGATTTAACGACATGTGGTACACCATACGAGATGTTTTGGAAAACTATGTTCCCGAGACGAGAGAACAATATGAAATCATGATTCGGGCCATAAAACGATTTATACAAGCTTCGGGAGGGGTGGTGGAGATAGTGGAAGACGAATCATCAGAATCTGATCAGGACGAACCGGTTGATGAAGAACCGAGGCCAAGACACGATGGACCATCAGCACTTATGCGCTCTCCTTCGCGTGTACGACCAGCTTATGGAAGGAACAAGAAACTCGAGGAAGAATAAACAATGGTCCCGCCAGTTTCAGAAATATAAAATGATTAACGCCAAAACTCACGTTAGTTTTGAAAAACCTTCCCTTTTCTTCTTCGACTTCCTCCACTTATCCCGTTCGAATAGGGTTGGCCAACAAATTCCGTTATCTTTGCACATTTCTCCATCAATTCTCTATTCATTCAACACATCTGTGACGTACACGTGAATATCTCCTAGATATGGTCACGGGGAGAGGATAAGGTCTAGCTATACCCAAAGTGACGAGGGTGGGGATACGGTGACCCCTGACTGTAACACCCCCAAAGACCGTAAAATTAGTTTCAAACGTTTCAAAACTTATGATAAAATGCGCTATTTTTCTTAGTTTTCCTTTAGGTGGAATCATTTTGAAGTAGCTCGTAGAAAGAGTTCAAAGTTTATAATTGAAAAATCGTAAAAATTGCAATAGCGTTTATTAAATTAAAATGTTAACACAATTTTTGCAAACTTTATTTTTAACAATCACCCACTCATTCTTTGGACAACCCTCACTTCCTTTAAGTTTCTCTGCACTAATCTATTTTAACCATTTTAAAATTTTATATTAATTCTTCCTTACAACAATCCTAAACTATTTCGATATATATACTCTCTCCACTTTATATTCTGCTATTATCAAGTTAAAACTATACTGTAGCTCATACTTAAGTTAATTTAAACCGAACTACATACGTTACTGGAAATTCAATCATTTATTTACTCAATACTTATTATATATGTATATGTATATATAAATATACATAATATGTACTATACCTACTATTATGATACTATATTATACTTTATAATAACATAATCATATTCTATCTTAGTTGGGTTTATAATGTATAATATTAAATTATAATCTTCAATAATACTTCTGTTTAAATTTTAATAATTATAAGCGACTTACTTTCCTATTTATTACAGTATTATAATTTATTTGTCTACAATTCGAGGCGTATTATTATTATTAATAATATAAAAACAATTTTTTGGTAAAATTACAAAAATGTAAGACTATTAATTAAAGACATTCTGAAAATATGGTTTTATTAAATTCAAATATGTCGTCTACTGTTTATGTATAATTATTATTAATATTAAGTACTTATTCAGAATCAATAAAAAATATGAATTTTAAAAGAAATGTATACGTTTTGTGATTTACTAAAAATTGGATATATTTTGAAATTTATTTGCCTCGGTCATACCCAAAGATACTTTTTTACGGTAATTTATAAGAAGAATATTAAATAATGATTGTTAGATTATTGATAGTCATAATAATATGGAAAACATACAACTTACTCTAAAAGGCTTCTGACTTGATTAGTACGACAAGTTTAGTAAACTTAACTAAGTGGTATTTTATAAAAACTCCAGGCGATTACACTTCTAACTATAAAAGTAACACTTTTAAATTAATAACAAGAGTATCAATACCTACACAAATACCACTGAAAAAAGCAGGTAAAATAAAATATAAGTAAAAATACTAAAAAAAAAGTATTGGCAGGTATTCTTTTACCATTATAGTATAGTATTAATACATTTAAATAAGTAGGTATAGTGTTGGTAATATTGTTTGCGAACAATATGACGATAGTGTTTGGTTATTTTTAATTTCTGAAAATTTTACATTTTGAACTTAATGCTTTTTATAAATAAATAATAATAGATTAACTTATACTACTATCAAGGGTCCGGATAAAATTCCCATAAAAAATATCATCTTACTCACAAACTGAAAAAAACACTTTTTTTTTCTAAATGAAATACGTTTTCCAAAATTGGTCAACTATTTTACACACTTAAAAATTCCCTTTTGTAATCTTTATCCGAACCAAAATTTTATTATTTTACGAAAAGAATGACTTGACAACAAAATTTGTTATACTTCGTTTTTTTTAAAAATAAATTTGCAATAATTTTAGTTTTTTTAATACTTTTTTATAATAATTTGTATTATTTTATTTATAATAATTTTTTAATTTACATTATTCTTACAATAACAATGTTATTGACTGCGGTCAATACTATTCATAGTTGATTAATGCTCTGTCAGTTGTCATGTCATATGGTGGACAGCTTACTATTTCTCTGTTAGAAGTAATTAAAATTTAATATTAATAAGTATGGATATGTTATGTTTATAATACATTACGTTATTACTTATTGGGAATTTTAAAATGTTTTATTATTTATATTTTATTATTAAAATTAAAACCATTGCCCTTGGATACGTCATACTATACAGTGCGTAAGATAATATAAAATAACTGCTATTGTAAGAATAATATTATTAAATCATTATTATTATCATTATGGTTATATGTATATATTTATACAATTTTCAGTAAATACAAGAAAAACATTCTGTTTAACTCAAATATTTAACAAATGCGAAAGCCCGCGAACACGTTTAAGAACAAATTTCCTTCAGACAGTCACACTGATTTTGGTGGGCCAATCATAGAGCCTTATTTTCAATTCTATTGTTATAGGCCCAAGTGAACAATCTGTTTGCATATAATCTGTGGTAAGCCGCTCACCACTTCAAGCATAAAAACACGTGTGTCACCTGGCGCACAGTGGTCCGAGAGTGAATTTTAGGCGCTCATAAGTCCTATTATTAAATATGCAAAAAAAATCAAAAAATTGAAGGGCTGCGGGGAAAAAAGAACAATGTAAATTTTTTTTTGAAAATGAGATTTTGGTATCAAATTATTTGTATTGATGTATTGCACCTTTTATGCGCTCGAACCAGGGAAAAAAATAAATTAGTCTAGAGTAACGACCGCCGGAAGTTTAGGCATACAGACAAAATGCGCTACGTTTTGAAATTAAAAACATGATTCTCAGAATGTTAAAAAATTGACATTGATCTTTTTTCCCCGCAGCATTATGATTTATTAATTTTAATATGTTTCTTAGACATAATATAAAATTTCAAGATCATATGTGTACCTGAACGTTTTTTATTGCTATTTAAAGCTCAGCTATTATAGTTTGGCGGTCATTTTGTATTTATTTATATTTTATGTCTAAGAAACATATTAAAATTAACAATTCATAGTTGTTTTGATATTTTTTGCATATTTAATAATAGGACTTATGAGCGCCTAGAATTCACTCTCGGGCCACTGTGTGGCGGCCGGTAGTCAAAATTACCTATATAATATACCCAGCAGAGCCACAGAATAAACAGAAAAAACTATCCAATTTTTACATGGGCCCGATACAAAATCATGTCCGACATCTTGAATATTGTCTAGAAATGGGCAATGCTAATAGGTGTTGGGAAATTCTCATTTTTTGTTCATTCTAGCTGAACTGTTCACTCGACAAATGCTGATAATGGCGACAACATTTAGTGTAGCCATAAGTCACAGAAAAATTGATAACAAGGAAATATCCGAGTTCTGGCATCAGTGGCTAAAACTCAAAATGTGTGACCGTTTTTTGATAAGCTCAGCAGATAAAAATGTTGGTACCCTACATTTTTTTTTTGTTCTTATTGTGAAAAGTAAGTATCAGTAAAACAGCGTATGAAGAGCATTTTAAACAGCAATGTGCAAAAAAATAACACAAAATCGAGTAACCGATACGTTGTAGCGTTAAGCTTAATCGCGTGTGTAAATCATCAACAGTGAAAAACAGAGATGGAAAAAGTGTCCAAAGCTTAACAAAAACACGAAAACGGTATTTCGTTTTTCCATTGCTCGTGTTTGAGATTAAAAGCAAAAGTGTATGTACGGTATATGTACATAGTTATATATGTATATGTATATAGGTACACTGTACATACATATACATGTACTTATACTTGTACATATATGATGGCAAAATCAATACCTATAATAATAATGCGATGCTTGGATTCGGTCCCTGGGCCCTAGCAACAAAAAGCGACACGCCCTTCGTTACCGGATCTACTGAATTGACGTTCCCTCTCAAAACACTTAGACGGCTGTTGCGCTTCGAAGTCGTGTGTGTCTCGTTTTTAAAAATGATTATTATGGTAGTAATAATCGTAATAATAATTGTATTAAGACTGTAATAATTGCCATAGTGCGGCCAACCGAAATAGTGCCATTTCGTTTTATTGGTGTGTGTGTGTGAGCGATTGTCAACAGGTACAGTGTAACCATTATTATTTATTATTGTAGTTAGTTCTGCGGTTAAGATAAATTCGTATATAGTTTTTAATAAGACTCGATATACATGTTAATAACAAAAAAAAAAAAATCAACTTATTAAATTACATAATAATTTCTACCGTAATAGCACTTTACTGGTGCCATATAATAAATACATTACACTCATAAACTATTATACTACTGTATTACCTTCTATTGCATGAGGTACAATAGTATTTAAAATAGTATAAAATGTTTTGTTTTAGTGTCACATTCAAGATCACAAAACTGAGTAATTTGTACAATTAAGAATTTAACTGCAACTAATATGGAGAATACAGTACAGTTACGCAACGGTAAATAGTAAAATTTTATAGAAAAATTGTTGGTAAACATTTTTTTTTTTTTTTGTAGTTCAAAAAAATAAAAACGATCCGAATGGTAATGATGCGAAATCACGCGGTTCACAGTTGAATAATTCAAAACCGCCTGAAGAAAAACCTCAAAACCAAGGTACAGGTAAAAAAAATATATTTAATCATTTTGATGTAAATAACTCCCCCCTCCTATTGCTAGCACTTGATTTAGTGGAAGGAGGTTGAAACTTTAGCTTCTTAATTGCGATTTTTCTTATCGTGTTCCCAACTAAATTATTATCTTTTGGTACCTACTTAGAACGGTTGAAAAATTAATATACTGCCAGAAGTAAATGGATGCTAAATGTATAATATTTATTTATATATTTTATTATTTTTTTTAATGGTTCTTTACAAAATATATTAAAAAATTAATAATTGTACAACGCTATTATAATTATATGTATTAATAGTAAAATTATGTAAAATTCAATATGATTTACTTCTTAATATCTAAAGCCTATATATTATAATGTACGAGGAAAATTTAAATTGGTTGAGTTAGTTTTATTAAAAATCTAAACGATAAGAGCACGCTGTTTTTTTAACAATAATTTAACATTTGCTATTATTCAGCTAAATATTGCTCTCTTTTTAATATTGACGGAAAAGCAGTTTATTTTACACAATTCCCGTCGCGTTCAGTTATCGCTCGTCGACGACGTTGTCGGAAAACTAAATCAAAGTAATAATAAAGTACATTTATATTTATTTCAATTGTCTTATCACACTTTACCGACCGTACAATCACAGAAAAAAAACAGAAGGGAATTTTAGAGCTTATCAAAAAACGGTCAGACATATTGAGTTTTAGCCAGTGATGCCAGAACTCAGATATTTCCTTGTTTTCAATTTTTCTGTGACTTATAGCCAGAGACGTATTTAGGAATTTTGCGCCCCAGGTAAGAAAAATAAACACCCCCTTCCCAACCTATATTTCTTCAACAATAGGTGTATTTGTAAAAAAAAAAACACATGATAGTGAAACCAATGCATTCTTCGCTAAACTCATAATCTGAAAGGTATATTAGGTATACATAAAAAAAACGTTTTTAAAAACATGCTTTTCTAAAAAAAAAAAAAATAGTAAAAAGTGAACTAAAAAGTAAAAATAATTTTATTACAAGAACAATTTACCAATCAATTGTAGCATATTTTATTTAAAATGTCAATTTCTTTGAAAACAATCGAAAATAAATTTTTGACTAAAAAGAAAAGCGTGGGCCTTATTCAACAAAGTCCAAATTTATTGAGTTAAGTATTAAGAAATGTATGTATCACACACTAATATTAAACCAATTTAAATTACAAAAAAAACTTACAATATAAAACATTATCTGATAAATTTATTAGGGACTTTGTTGAATAGGGCACATGCTTTTCTTTTTAGTCAAAAATTAATTTTCGGTTGTTTTCAAAGTAATTGACATTTTAAATAAAATATGCTACAATTGATTGGTAAATTGATCTTGTAATCAAATTATTTTTTACTTTTTAGTTCACTTTTTACTATTTTTTTTTTTAGAAAAGCATGTTTTTAAAAAAGTTTTTTTTTAAATTATTTATTTTATTTTTTTACTTTTTAGTCCTATTAAAAGTATTTAATAATTGCTGAATAGATTACTAAATTAATTTTGGAAGATTTGGAAAAAAATGAAATTTTAGTGAAATGACCCCCACATTTGACCCCGTGTAGGGCGACCTGATGTCCGAGTCCCAATATGATTACAGAATATTGTATTGTCATCTAAGACGAGTGTCTGTGCCAAGTTTCAGCCCTATACGACATCGGGAAGTGGGTTAAATTAATTTTGCAAGATTTGAAAAAAAACCGTACAAACGTACGTACGTACGTGTTAGCGAGCTAAAGAAAAGCATGTAAAAAAACATTTATTGAAGTACATATTACATAATTATATTAGGTATATTTATTATTAATTATACAAAAAATCTAAATGTAATAGGTTAAATAACAACATTTAAAAAAAAATCCCTTAATATATATATAATTCCCCATATGTATAAGAATATTAAAAATGTTTACGCCGAGCTTTTTCAATAAAAAACGCCATTAAAAGGCGAGCAAAAGCAGTAGAATTTACGCCGAGCGTATCAATGATATCATCATAATCTAACTTCTTTGTTAAATCTGACTCTACAGTTAAAACAGCCAAAGAATTTAGCCTTTCGTCGGTAGTACTTGATCTCAAATAGGACTTGACCATTTTTAAGACTGAAAAAGACCTCTCAGCAGAACAGTTAGATGTAGCCTGTAGGGCTAGAAACAAAAATTCGTAACGCAATTTCTACATACGGTTACAAATCTTTTTTTGTTTCTTTGTGATTACGAACATAGATAATAGATTGGGAGTACATAAACGTTACGAACCAAGATTATTATTACTGACAGTTGGCACGACCGTTTAAACATGTCTACGAAATATTTTTGGGCGGCCATATTCTGTGTATCTTAATGCTCAAACTACAATATACTTTTCCATGTGCTGGTATTTTCAATGCATGTTTTGTGACAAATGAAAACCACAATAATACGTTTATTAGTATCATTACTTTTTTTATCACCCAAATGACCTACCGTATTATACAAAAATGCTCTCCAAAATTTACCGCCCGGGGTAAATTATATATATAATGGACTGTAAGGGGTTTAAACAACAATAACACAGAAACCAATTACTGGAACAAACTACTACTATTTAGAAAACAACTATATACAATAATATATTACTCACTGGCCAGCTTGCTAAATTGACAATCGACAACTTAAAAACTAAATACATACAAAGGCGATAAATATTTACAACGGTCCAACTATGGTTAGTTCGGTCGCTCCAGCTAGGTGGTCGGTCGGTTGACCGTGGTTGTCGGTTGGCAAAATAAACTCGAAACGGTCGAATGAGTGAAACTTAAAGTAAACAAAACGGTGCAGAGAAAACAAGTAAAACCAAAAAATAACTGTGCAGTTCAAGAAAGAAAAGCCATAACAAAAAAGAACGGTGCAAAAGTGTCAACGAAAAAACGCGGTACGGTAGACGGTAGTAGTGATAGTAGAATGAAAAATGATAGTAGCAAAACGGTCGGTGAGGCGAGCATAGGTGGTGGTGTGGGGAGCTGCAGCCTATGTAATTCCCGAACATGAACTATTTCAACTTTTTTGTCTGTCTACAATAATTTATTGACTTTGTTGCTCATATATCTGAATTAACAATATTACAATGAAAATAGTTTTAAATACCCGTTGAATGTCTATTCACTCACCCATAGAAATTGATTAAGATCAAAGTGTAAGTTTTCTCTTTTTTTTTGGGGGGGTTTTTCCTACCTAGTAAAAAAAACATTTAATAATATTAATAAAATCATTTTAAATTGACATAATATATGTACATTTTTTTCTTAATTTTATAGGGGTGAACTTTTTAAATTATAATAAAAAAGCTATAACTAAAATAATAATATAATTATGTACTCCCCCCCTCCGAAAATTGATCCTGAGTACGTGCTTGGTACAGATACAATTTTTTTTTTAAATAAATAAATAAAAACACATCACTGTAAAAACAAAACCTTTTCAGCGTGAAAGCTAGAAAAATAGTATTTAATTTTTTTTTTAATTTGAATAATTATTGTTCAAAAGACAAATTATTGGAATAAATGCCCAACTCTGTCTACTAACTTATTTTAAGAAACAATTTTTAACAGAATCCGGTCGGACAAAAATCAGGAAAAAAAAATCAAAAATCAATCAAAAGGAGGTCCAGGGTTCGGTGGAAGAAAAGACAAAAACAAAGGGTTCCGATGTTGATCTTAGCGCAAGTACTGTTAAGGTAAATAAACAATTATCAACTAAAACAGACGACAGAGTAAAAACTGTCTGCTGATAACCGTTAATTTCAACTTTTCAGTGTATTGAGAAGAATAAAATATCGAATAAAATAAATAAATCAGATCAGCCTGCCGCTAACATTACTCCGTCACAAGTAAATATTCGTACTTTATTTTACACGCTAAATCACTTGAGGTCATATAAATAAAAAACAAATTTAGATAGATATAAAATATGAGTTATACAATTTTAGGACAAGGTGCGCAAATCGGATACGGGTCAAGTTCAGAATCCAAAAAATCGTTCGTCTATCGTCAAAGCTACACGGTAATAATGTTTAACTGTCGATTTCCGTTTTTAGTGTTGAAAATAGTGTTCGTGCATACGGGTTAAAATTACCCATTTTGAAGTTATTCGCCGACAATAGAAAATAAATTAGATTTTTCAAATAAATAAGCTAAAAGATACTGTACGTTTAATGGACTCTCTAATCGGCTAAAGTTAAATTGTCATCTTCCAATAATTTATATACGAACATAAAAAAGAAACCTGAAACACGATTTGTTTTTAAATCAATAAAATTACTTTGTGTATAGAAATTAATTTATTATTATATTATTAGTTTTCGCGTTAGTAAGTCTCGACACCATTTACATTATTAGCATATTGTAAGCAATATTTTTTTATAAATACTAAACAAAAAACAAATTAAGTTATCTATGAAATATAAGCTGTATTTATATTTTATGATAGTTAACAACGAGTACATCATTTTCTAACCTAACCTAACCTAAATTATATTAAAAAGAATAAGCTGTAAAAGTTTTAAAAACGAATACATATATAATTTGTTATAAGTTTAAAAAAAATGAAGTATGAAAACTTATAAATTTAAATACTTAATATACTAAAAATTTGTCTTGTTTTTAAAATCTGGAAACATATTCACATGCGTACATATATATATATATATATATATACAATTTATTCGTTTTGAACAATATTATACTGTTTTATATTCTCAAAAAAATTACAACTATATAGTCTCGAGGTCAAAATCATTCATTTGGTGTACGACCATTTTTCGTTCATTTAACGGCTAATTAGACTCCAAAGTTTGTACTTAACATCTATAAATATTATATCTTATAAGATTGGAAAAAATCATGCACATTGTTACATTTTAATATCTCGATATTGAAACATGTCTTAATAGTCATAAAAATCATTTTTTTTTTTAATAACATGTTGCGAATATAACAATTCTATTACCCTGGGTAACAATTACTGTTAAGTATTTTTTTTTATAACGTTTCGACTTCATGTCTTCCAGGCTTGACGTGCCATCGGTGGTACCAGCAGCTGCAGCAAACGACGAGCAGGACGGGTCAGGTAATTATTCTACTAACGTGGAAACAGAAGTCGGTCCTGTGATGGACACCGAGTGTACTCCGTTATGTCCTGCCAGAAAAATAGAGCCAGTGAAAACCCAAAAGCTGACAAGACAATTGAAAAGAATGCACATCCGCATACGACAAATGAACGAAAAACTGAAAGCGGTAACGAAAAAACAAAAGAAAATCGAAAGGCGAATGAAATCCTACGAAACGACCCAGAACGATCCCGAGATGATTGTGTCTGAAGTGTGCCGACTTATAGAACCCACCCTAAAGAGTATTGCTTACTACTTAATACTTATGCTTAGCAGTCATTTGTATAACTTACCGAAAAAAAAAATACAAACATTTTACTTGTTTTTCTTTCAATTTTAGCAATGGTGTATAGAACAACCGACGAAGCGTACACGGATTTCGAAACGACGTTTATACAGAAATTGACCGTGATGCAAAACACGTTTACTGGAATCGACTCGAAACACATTTCCGAGATGGTATTTGCATTTGTCTGCGAATGTTCCACTATTAATGTAAAAAGACAAAATAATTATCATTATTTTATGGGTAGTTCGTAGACTAACGGTTATTATTCTGCCCTCCCAAAGAGACGGACCAGTAACTCTAAAAATTACTTTTTCAATTTCTCTGTTTTTCACCTCGAAATCATTACTTGTTCTCGCTTTTTTTTCCATCGGTTATTAGTCATAAGCATCCTTAATATTTTTAAAGTTTTGTTTTGTATTATTTATATTTTTTTCATTTTTAAAGAGATACTGCATTTTTTTCTTGTACGATCGCTTGAAAATGCAGTATCTCCATACATACTAGTTTGAGCTAGTACCTAAGTATCTGAAATCTCAATAAATGTTTTGGTACATGACTACATACTGCAAAACCGTTTTACTAGGTAAATACGCTGTATATAAATTATTGTGAACTCGGTTTAATTAGAAAATCACTTTCAATGTGGATTTACTGCGTTTCACCGCGAGGAAAAAAACGAGGAGTGTCCAATTATCCTGTTAATGGATGTTTAGCTATTTTTTTTTTAATTTTGTGTATACAACGTTTCTCTTTAGGAGGCTATAGACACATTTGCTCGTGTCATAAATAACCTATTTATTTATCATGCTTTAAAGCCGCAAGGCGTTAATTAAGTTTGACCATTAAAACGGTTATTAGTTTTTGAACATTTTTATCCTAGAATATATAAATCTAGATTTTGTATACTTTCCAATTTTTAAAATTTTTTAGTTGGATAATGAAACGTTATCCACAACGTTGAGTCAGCCATTGCCGAAAGTATATTCTATGGGAGTGGTATTAGACGAATTATTCAGAACTACAGTCGTTCCGAAAATCAAACAAGCCTTCTGGTTTATGTTTGAAAAAATGCAAAAAGTGATGGACGATATACGTTCAGATTGTGAGTATCGCTTATTTTAAGACCGTTTTTTTAAATTAATGGTCACAGAAATGGTCTATATTTTGTTAAGAGCAAAATTAATTGAATTTAAGGGAAACATAATTAATAGTAAAAATGATGAAGCGATGTATTTTTTTTTATACTTTGTATACATTTATAAAAAATGGCAATGACGTTATTAAAATAAAATACATCAAAACTCATTTGAATATTAATGATAAATTTAAATGAAACAAATTTTTTTTTTTATATAATATTTTTTATCTTATTTTTAAGGCTCGCTTCAAGATGACGAAGTGCACGTGAAGAGGTCAAAATTTGTAAATTATGCTAAAAAGTTTTTGGAAGGAGGAAACTTTGTTGAAGCCTTGGAAATGGTAAATAATTCTCGCATAAATTTAATTTCTAATTTATTTTAACGCTTTGTTGTATTATTTTTTTAGGCGTTGGTGACAATTGATTTGAAGTTGGTACTTTATGTATGCGAACATATTACAATTCCCCCGCAAGATCTGTTCCAATTTGCTTCAATACAAACACGCGTTTTATTGCCATTGATGCAGCAGTTATCTTGTGATTTGAAAATGAACACAGAATTGAAGTACAAGTAGGTCGTTCAACTGTAAAGCGTGATTCATTAGGAAGATACATATTTTCTTTTAAAATAATTGCAATTTTGAAGTTTTTGCTTTTTGGAGGCACTTATTAGTTTATGCTATTTTACAATATTAGACGATGTTTAAATTTAAAGCTTTACCAACTTTTGAAATTTGTATATAGTATTATGTATTTAATTCAATTTTAAAATTAAGAAAATTTGCTGAATATTTTAACTGTTGAACCCGTTTTAGTTTTGAGTAAATATTTTTAAAGTAAATTGTCCAAAACTAGCTGTTAACTACCGACCAATGAGTTCTTAATTTTTAAAGTTATTTTATGAATTTTAAGTTACTATTTAAGTTTTAAAAGTTGATAGACCTCTGGAACGTACTAAAAAAGGTGAATGTTTAGTAATTGTATAATATTATGGGATATTAAAAAGAAAAACTACAAAATTGTATTTATTTCAAGAGAAAATGAGTAACTTATCCTTAATAAATAATCATATTTATTTTTTACTTTTACGCCATCATAACCATTACTTTTTATTTATATTTATATATTTTTTTTAATATAATTAAAATTATACATTTTGTTGTACTGTGTCCGTCCTACCTCTATTTGGTTTAAAAATTGTATATACCTTCAATAATCGTATTATTATTGTTTGTTACTAAGGTATTTAGAAGCTGCTGTTAAAAATTTTGACCCCAAGAATTTCAGTTACAAGAAAAACCTCAAGTCAATCCTAAACAATATAGATAACGACATAGAATACTTTTTGATTCAAGAGCCACGCAACCCGTATTGTTGTAAGATAGAAACGCTGCAACTAGAACTTAAGAAAAAAATACATTTACTAAATTAGTAATAATGTGTGTAAATTCAATCAAAGACTCTTTCTTAAAAGTGTATCATCTTTTTTAAATATTTTTTTTTATTATTTCTTCAAGCCTGGTATAAAAATGTATAAATCAATATTCCTCAAGTCGAGATCTTTAGTTTTGAAAACATTTGTTTGTTTTTGTGTGTTTTTATAACTGTATTACGTAATTGACATATAATAATGTTTTATATAATATTTGTATTGTACCTACAAATTCTGCTACAGTGGTATTGAATTCTAAATAAAAATAAAATATTTTTACCCTAAATCATAATGTTTTTATTGAGTACAACACAACTATATAATAAAACAAAACATATTTAAAAAACTCTTATAATATGTTTTTACAAGAACTGTTTTATTAATATATTACACTAAATCAAACACGTTAATAAATAAACGCAGTAGAGTTAAGTTAGTCACTGGTTGCAGCTTGATGCTTTTTTAATTCTCGGAGATTGTTTTATTTTTAATTTCAAATGTGAATAGCTAATCTAAATGAGATAAAGCTCGATGTATAATCCGCATAATAAGTTGAAGAGTATATTGCATGTAAATGTATAATTGTATCACTTGAATTGGACCCCTGAAATTAATCCCTGTTATTTATTATAAAAGCCTCTCTAACATTTTATTTATTTCTAAGTCAAACTTACGTTTCAAACTTTATGCCAACTAATATGTTACATATTGTTTCTCTTTAACTATCTTGAAAATGTTGATATTGTCTATTATTTTAATTACTTACAACAAGAATAAATTTAAAACAAATGTATTAAAATTGTAATAAGTTCTATGCTTCTAAGTGTCAACTCCTTTATTTGTAGAAGTTAACATTTGCTTAGACTATTTTTCACTCTAGCAACAGTAGAACTTAGAAGTCTACTCGCGCTATCTTTTGCGCTACCGAAGGTTGTTTATGAACGATTAATTAATATAATTTATAAGCTATTCAAACAAATTAGATAATTGCATAGCGCATATATTAACTATAAAATAATAAGCTAATAAAAATTAATTATAAGCTAACCTTAAAATTGTTTCGAGGGATAGTGACACGGCCGAGTGGTCACAAACAAAATATTATGCTTCTGCGCATGATGCCATAATGAATAGGTCCTAAATGATATGTTATTTTGATTAATTACTTAATTGAAAAGGGATTTTTAAAATCAGACTAGGTCAAAGAGAGTAGGTAAAGATTCTTCCTAAACAAAAGCGAATGGTTCGTTGTTGGGCGTTTTACATCGAATTGACGCCACACAAGCGTAGGTTTAGCTGTACAACTATCTATTACTTACCGCCCTACTCTTTTATAGTATTAGTGAAGTTATGAAAGTTTAAAAACATACAGCATTTGTAGACCTTGAGTCGTTATTTTTGTTGATAACAGATTCAACTACCTACCAAGTCTTGGAGTATACTGTAATAATATCTTTGAAATGAGATTTCCCAACTCTAAAGCGCCATCATTATTTTATCGAAATAGTGTCCCTGGATATTATTATGGTAAATAAGATGAAATTCATTACACCTGTAGTAATGCTACGTTTCTTTCATCGGTCAGTAATCTCATTTTCGTTTGACGAGCCCAACGGTAGATGAGTATGTAAATTCTGAGTCTATATTAGTTTATAAATTCTATGCTGAACTGTTAGGTAATGTATCTCGTTAGTCAGATGTTTTATTGCTCTGTTTGTGATGAGATCATGCCCAGGCGATTTGTTGATTGGTAACTTGTCGATTTGACCAAAATCACAGAATTTCTTGTCAAACGGTAACCGTAATTCGATCGTTACGAACGGATCACGTTTGGGTTAGTTTGACAAAAAAAAAAAATGTATATACCTACCTACCTACCTACCGGTTTGTAGCTAAAACTGCATTTTATTCTTTTGTATTCGCACCCTCCAACGCAGCTGCAGCCCCTTCGGTTATTTCGAAGCATGACCCGATTATTGTACGGTAGATAATTGTTGTACCCGAGTAGTTTTACTACATCGACCATAGTAAACCTACACACAGATGGACGTATATTTTCTTTAGGTTCTATAGTTAAGTTAGGTCAAAAACATCTTTCGAGCGCACACGTGGTACGGTTAGCATATCGTGTATATATTTGTTATCGGGCTAGTCATTACAATTGCAAAGGATTTTAAAGTACATACAATTGACAACAAAAGAAATTCAATGTCTATAGCGTTCAATTTAAATATGACGTCACGGCTGTATATTTGAAAGCGTTCATGTTTATACTTCATTAATATAAATTGGATACAAGGCCGGGCTTTCTGTTTCCCTGTCCTGGGATGGGGGGGGGGCTAACGGGTAACGGTAAACACGCTTTTGTTTGATTAATGCGGGTCTTTTTAGAAAGGATTACAAAACCCACCCTTACAAAGACCCTTTTGAACATCAAACAAAGTCCTTTGATGGCGTGCGATATTTTAGAACACTGACGATCACCGACCGGCAAACTAGCATAAAATAATAGCTGTAAAGCCTCGAGTAAATTGTTGTTGTTATTTATCCGAAATAAAATTGATTTACTACTTAGCAAAGAATATCCGTTGTTTTTAAGTACAAACTTTTGATGGCTATGTTTATTTATGATATTTTGATTAAATATGATGTTTTCGAAAATAATCGAAAATTATAATACATAATCGGATAATAAATGTAAATGTGTAAATATTCCCCTATGTTGATGCACTGTACACGAGTGTTCGAATGCGCAGAGTTAATATATATTATAGTACTATATGGATGTTTATGTAAATAATAAATATATCGACGAAAACAATAATATTATATTGATATGTTATAGTTGTACTTAATGATTATTTCCATTTGACGATAAGTAACCACACACGGAATTCAGTTTTTTCATACCGTGTATTTTTAAATATTATTTTTATCCAAAAGTACCTACCAATAAAATAATGACAGCAAAAAAGATTTTTCTCAAAAGAATAGAAAATTGTAGTTTAACTTAAATTGAAATTACCAGATAAAAAGATTTTGTTTGTATGTTTTGCTTCATATTTTGTGTTTTTTTTAATTATTATAAAATATATTATAAATTAAAATATTTGTAGGTAGACTTTGTGGTTACAATATTTAAAAATAAAATGATAAAAATTATGAATTGCATATATAGAGATTATTAAAGGTTAATAAAGACATGCATATTTTGGTTGATTTTAAAGCATAATAAGTACCTAATAAAATGTTATAAAATGAAATAAAATACGGCAACGTTTAAATATATTAAACAGCCAAGATAAGCAATAATTTTCTTTATTTATTATAATTAAGCAAATCGTAATCTAAAGTGATTTAAAAGTTTAGTAAATTTAATTAAGTTGATAATAAACAAATACAAATTCTTTAACTCGAGGTTATCTGGAGAAAAAAAACGAATTTTTAAGAAACTAAATCCAAATAATATTTTTTTTAGTTTTAAGTAGATTATGATTCTTTACTTGGAATTCTGTTTAATTAAATTACATAATATGTTACACATAATTACTATATTCTAAATTGCTGTGTTTATAGTATTCATACATCGAAAATTAAATAATGATAAAAAGAAAAGCAAGTAATACAATTAATTTACCGTTTGAATTTAACGTTTGTGTGCATTTCAGGCGGGCTCGGAAAGACTGATTTAAAAATTGTATAAACAAAAGTTTTAAGGTTTTTTTAGAGACTTTGAAGAGGGTTTCGGTTTTGGTTAACAGAAATAATTAATTGGGTTAATGGTTACGGTTTTACTATGAACAATTATTGCGTTCCGGTTGAAGTGGTATCGGGTTTTGGAGTTTATTTGGGTAATTCGGGTTGTTGTGGTTACGTTCTATTCGGTTTGAAATCCCTGATAAAAAGTTACACACATGATTTAGTATTACAGTGTTCTTTGTGCACATATGAACAGCGCGAATAAAACGAGACAAATTAATATACATGGCAAAATTATTTAGTCACGTTTATTATTAATATAAACTTAAAAGCTCACGTTTGCTTTAAATATTATAAAGAAGCGAGATTTGCACTTTTGGATTGGAGAAGTCTTGAGCAATTTTTATTTAAACAATAAAATATAATAACAGAAAACACTATTCAACAAAATTTAAGATTTTTTGGAACAAAAATAAAAAAATGTCTCAATTTGTTCACCGAATTCAATTCTAGCCTCATAATTTCTCTAGTACCTACGTTTAATTATTTTTGAAATCTCATCCAGTGTTTTTGTATTATTTCTAGCGTCTTTTGTACGTTTGAATAATTTTTTAAATATTTTTTAGAGAAAAACTGGTCTCAGAATTAATTTATCTGTAGCGTAGTAGAGTTAATCTGTAGTTTTTTCTACACAAGACCACTTTCGGATTCAGCAAAACAATTCCAAAATTTAGATGAATATGATTTTTGTTCATAAGTCGTCTTGTACAGTGTAATTATTTGAAAACAATAAACTGTTTTGAATAGGAATTTATTCAGTGTAACTAACAGTTTTATATTTAAACTTTAAATAAAATTGTACTTAAAACAATTTTTATTTGACTGTGTTAAAGAATTATTTGAATAATTTATTTTGTTCCATAAATACTATCCATTTGTATGAACACACTTGTCCAAACCCATATCTACGAGTTTTTTATAAATAGAAATTTATTTTTATTGACCAAAACCCCATAAACACACTAATGACTAGTGGTATCAATAAAAATAGTAGGGTCGTTCCATGCCAAATCACCTGATGCGTGTGCGAGTGAATTTTCATAATGCCTCAAACTTATATATCCTATTCAAATAGTTCCATAAAATCGGAAAAGTAAAGAAAAAATGATTTAAACATTTTTTTTGGACTTAGGCGATGCTATATTCTGTAAATTTATTGTAAAAACACCTTAACTTCACCACCTCGTTACTTAATGACTAATTATGATATTGAAATGGAATTTTCACTGAACAATTGTAAC